GCATTTTCGCTAAGGAAAAAGTTACTTCAAATGACCTCAGCTACCCCCATTTTTGGTTGTTAAAGTAATTGTGGAACACCCTGTAGAATCGAATCTAATTTGTCATATGATAAATGGTCAATATTCTTGTATTTTGGAGAAGCGAAAATTAAATTTTCTTTTAACTGACCTTTTAAATGACCCCAAGCATAGCTCGTCTACTGGTACACGAGATAAATATTCTAAGATACGACTGACGTCGTTTCGTTTTACAAGACAGAATTCTAAATCTCTGAGAATTTCGAAGTGCAGTCGATATGTTTCTAAGACTGGCCCTTTTTCTTTCCAGGACTGGAAATTCTGACGAGTTCGAGGGACATCATAGACGATGCTCTGACAGACGCTACCTCTCCAATACTGAAACGTCTCCATGATAGAATGATGTACGCGAACGAGACGGAGATCAAACGAAGATTATTCCAAAGCAGAGACGCTGCGCATCTGTACCAATTGACGTTGCTGCCGTTTAAGTACGATAAACATCAAAGACGAAAGCTGCATATCGTCAAAGAATGTCCCAAAGATTACATCCTGGCTAACATCGTACGGGAAGGTAAGTCCCCTCCTTTCGCGACGTTCCGATTTTATCAAATATTGGAAGCAACTTCCGAGAAAGAGTTTATCGATCGTGCACCTTTTAAGATTACCATTGCTGAAAAATTACTACAGATTCAACTATGCATGTAGCTTTAGATGACATATTCGTTTTAGAAAGAAGTCTGTTAATTTTATCAGAAAAAATTCCTAAAGATCAGGCTTGTATTTAAACATGATCTATCAACCCTTAACCGGATTACAGTTGCCGCGGCAGTCCCGCGCATCTTTGAACGAGTCATACACTAATGTACGTTAATGTAATTGTTTGAGAAGTCATGCAATCCCCTATTAACTCATTAATTTTGAATGAAAATGAAAGATCTAATCGAAGTGTCTCTAAAAAAAAAACACTCAAAAATATTATGTAACAACTGTTTGCAAAGAAGTTGATCTTTTCATATCATTTTACATTACGTAATCGTGGATTTCATATTTATCCCTTCAAATTCCCGCAGAGTAGATACGAAACAGTGTTCTAGGATCAGTGGGGTCGCAGCGGTTCTGAAAAAGCGTTTACAGTAAATTCTCCCCAATCGACTCAGCTTGGAACCAAAAATGGATAATTTGGGAAGAGGAGATGCGATTATTCGAGGCTTGCGGCTCGTTTTTATAGTCGCCGATTGTCAACGCAACTATCAAAACGACACACAAGGCTCGATTAATCGTGCCTACTTTTCCCAAATTGTCCGTTTTTGTTTCCAAGCTGTGCGACAATTGAGCCAAACGACAATTAATCCAAACCAATTGAGCCAACAAAGTGGCATAAGTCACTTTGTTTTTAAGTCGATATATTTAAGGGT